CCTTTTTGACCTTCACACTCCCAACAAACCATTCCTTTGGATATTTCGATATGTGGATAATGGAGAATTATATTCCAAGCGCTGTAGACTTTTCAGAAGAGTAAAGCTGATTTATGGATTTTAGAACTTAAAAAAAAAAAAAAAAAAAAAAAAAAAAAGATGTGGAAGAAAGAGCTTTTTGTGTTGATATTGGTATGAGCAGGGTGAGCTTCTAGGGATCCCTGGATTTTGCTGGAGAAGGCGTTCTTCATCAAGCTCAAGTTATACATAAGGATTTTAGTCAATGAAAAAACTGCTTATGTCACATGTGATCTTTCAAATCCAGCTCAGAATGGTGGCTTAAAAGCTAACCTAACTAAGCTTACAAGGGTTTCCTTGACATGAAAACCTTCTGGCTGATACAGGCTGGGAAGGATGTGGATGTCTTCTGTGTAGTTTTTGGGTTGAGCCTCCACAGCATTTTGGCAGGGTTTCATGTCTTAGACTTCCTGCTGCAGTGGGAAGACAGTCTCCCTTGCTCCTCTGGTAAGTTTACCACATGGCAAAGTGTGTCCCCAGCATAGAGGAGCAACAGGAACTAGGCTGGAGACTTGTCCACTGTACCCTGTCTTGTTGCTTCATCTCCTCAGCAGCTGTTGTTCCTCAGCACAAGGCAGGGCAAAGGCAAGCTTATTCTGTCTGTTGAACAAGTTGATTAATTCAGGTGATGGCAGCTCACAAGTTCAGAGTGAGGAAAACTGGCAGGAGGATCTTGGAGATGCTATCCTGCAAACCACCTGCTCCTCAAACCAACAGTGCACACTTCTCCTGGAGGCTGGCAGTCGCTGTGTCGCTCTGCTACACATCTTCTGTGTAGGAATCACCCCTGGTTTTGAGAATTATGCTCATAAATAGCTGATACACAGCAGCACATCTCAAGTTAAGCACTCGGAAGCACTGGGACTTGAAGGACTCTGAGCGAAATGTTGCGTTTTGCAAATCCATCAGTTTTCTGGTGGAGCTGAAAACCCTGCCAATGCAGCTTTCTATCTGCATCCTGATGCATTGATGAGGAGGGGGGAGAAACATCCATGGGAATCCTCGGAAACAGTTATTTCTCTTTTTCAGTTCTGCATTGCCTTGTCCCAGCAGGCTCATAAAACCTTTGTAATAGAGCTGCACTGTGTAAGAAGTGGCTGAGGGAATGGTGTGCTTCCCAGAGTGGATAATGTTGCCCAGTTTTCCAAAGGGAGGCCATTTACAATGGTGAAAATGGTATAATCAGAACAAGTGTGTCATTTGAAACCATTCTAAATGTCCCTGTATTGAATTTTAATTTTATTTGAGAGATGTACAGCACCAGCCCCAGCACAACAGAGCAGCATCAATTAATACGGGATAGATAAGGAACTGTATAAAGAGAAAGCACAGGCAGAGATGGCCTTAAATAAAGAGTGAGCTTCAATCAACGGGCTAGTCTGAGGAGCTACCAAGAGGTCTGTCTCTCATAAACAAAAGTTTCCTTCCTGCAGGCATCTTAAATCACTTCACAGTTGTTAAATACAGAGTAAAGGACAGAGGCAAAATCTGAAAATAACACATGCTGTCCCTCAACAGCATTTCTGCTATCCGTATCAGCATTTCCAAGCATGAATTTGCATGGGCTCTTGCTTATAATAGATTTTCTTAGCAGGTACTTGCCATCTTCTGCATCTAGAAACTTTGTCATTGGCAGAGCTAAGCATAGGTGCTAAAACAGTCAGCCTAGTCAAAAGCAGTGAGGCACACTTTCCTGGCTAGCAGTCATAGATTTTCTTTTTCTAATATTGGAATTCCACTACAGGGACATTAAACACTATGACTGCAGTAATATTGGAACCAATGTCCTGAAAATCAGAAATTCCAGTGAAATGATGTACTATACAAGACATTTTCCAGTCCTCTGCACCACCACTGAAGCCTCGCATATATTTTGCTCCTTCATTTTCATATATATTATATTGCCCATCAATGTGCTGCTGCACATTGCAGACCAGTGAGAGTAGGTGACACAGTGCTTGGAGGTAGAGATCAGACCATGAGCATTTATTCTCTACTCAGAGCTTATGGTTTTGGAATAGAGTTGTCCTCTTTAGAAACTGGAAAACTACTATTCACATTACAGGTAAATATCTATACAGCTACAGCTCAATCTGTTCATTCACTAGGGCTCCAGTGGTGCCTGCAAATTTGGAGGAAAATCAGCTACTCATCTATGAAATTAAAAATGTCTATTTAGTAGCTCCCTCTATTCCTTCTTTTAACACAAAATATAATAAAATGCCCTGCAAGGTGCTCAGACTAGAGAAGGTACATGTTACTGCAATGAAATCAAGAATATAGTTCCAAAGCCAGATCACATAGCTGTCTGGACTCTTGAGGCATATTTCAGACAAGTCTGATTAACAACCCAAGAAGCAAGAGCACTAGAGGAAGGTTATTAGAAGAACCTAGGTGTTAGCTTAAAGCTCATCAGAGCATAGCCTGACATCTAGGTCTTTTTAGGTTTCAAGTTGTAGGGAACCCTTGGATGCTACCATAGTCTCAGAGCAGGTTCTTAGATAACCTTTCATGTGGAAGAGACTTTCCTGGGCAATGCAGGAATGTGAGGGGGTGAGCAGGCTGTTTTGGTGATTTCAACACTTACCTTCTCTAACTATGGAAGAATATAAAAAATTAATCCTCTTCACATAAGTGGCCAAGACTTCTTGCCTTGCCCTTACCAAAGCACTGCATTTGGAAAGAACAAAAATCTTGATGAAAGATGAAAACTGCCAGCTGAAGTAGAGTAAAGCATCTCAAAGATCATGGATAGTGCCATCATCTTTCTCCTTCCATCCTAGTCCCTCTGTCAAGTGATGAAAAATAGGTCAGATAGCCCAACAAAAACTAAGGAAGAGCAGCTGCTCTGAATATAGCTGTCATTGTGGATATGTAGAAAAGATGGTGATTAAACCTTATGGCCTAGGATTTAGCTCATTACAAGGCTTTTGAAATGTGTGTGTGTGAGATATGTGACGTATATAATCTGGTATAGATTTGAGCCTGTGGTTGTTAACTGGATATCCTGACTGCTGTTCTTTACAGTGGCAACTGTTGATAGTGGTACCTAACAGAAACATTTAGGAAATTGCTCTAAAGTTGCATCAACAACAGGAGAGAACAGCCATCTAAAAGCAAGACAGGAGTTAGCAAAGGGAGCTCATCAGTATTACCTGTAGTAGGCCTAGTTAGCAACCTACATTATGGAGTTTGCAGACTTCACTTCCGGCAGACTGAGACATCAACTGAGATATGTAGGTTTGTATAGGAGCCACTGAGAAGCCATCTGTTTATGGTTTGAGTAGAAAGGTGCAACCATTATTTGGTCTTAGCTAAGAACTTAGCTAAGTTAGCTAATTTAGCTGTTAGATAAGAATTTCTTCTTCTGGGCCTGGAGCACAAGTCCTATGGCGAGTGGCTGAGGGCACTGGGGTTGTTCAGTCTGAAGAAGAGGAGGCTCAGGGGAGACCTTATTGCTCTCTACAGCTACCTGAAAGGAACATGTTGGGAGCAGGGGTCGGCCTCTTCTCACAGGTAACTAGTGATAGGACTAGAGGGAATGGCCTCAATGGTGCCTAGAGAGGTTCAGGTGGGAAATGAGGAGACATTTCTTCTCAGAAAGAGCAGTCAGGCACTGGGACGGGTTGCCCAGGGAAGTGGTGGTGTCACTGTCCCTGGGGTTGTTCAAGGAAAGGTCGGATGTGGTGCTTAGGGACATGGTTTAGTGGGTGACATTGGTGGTAGGGTGATAGTTGGACGAGATGATCTTGGAGGGCTTTTCCAACCCTAATCATTCTGTGGTTCTTACCTTACTCTTTCCTCATATGCACATTCATTTGCTTGTTATATCATTGATTGTAAGCTCCATACCCACACCCTGCTAGCTGGCAAGATGGTGCTGGTGCAGGTTTGTTTTAAAGGGCATGTTCAATAAGGCTGTGTCAGGAAATGTGACCCCTTTTAAAAATGCAAGAAGTTTTCACTCCCATGTTATTGCTATTGTAGTTAAGTGAAAAAAAAAAAAAAAAAGAAAGAAAAAAAGAAAAAATACAAATAGCATTGAGTCAAAGGGTAGATTTATAGAAGTGTTTGGGTATCCTGGAAAACACAATTCCTTCCCCACAGGGGCTGTTTGCATTTCAAGATTTTGGAGTCAGTTTCCTCCTTCATGTCAATCAGCCTGTGGGCTGAAGAACCATACTTCGATCACAGTCCAGCAAAAACTAAATTTTGTCATAGGTTACATTAAAGAGCTTCAATTAATTTACAGGCTGAACCATGATAAATGTCACCAGCCTTCCACATATCAACATTTGCTTCAGAATAATTTACTGCCTATATATTGGGTGTTCTATCTATACAAAACCATATTGCAGCCTGTTAACTTAAGAAAGATAGGAGAGTGAGAAAGCATTCTAATTTCTCATCAGTGTAAGCAAAGATAAGAAAAAATATTAACACATTGGATAATAGCTTTCTGAATAGAGCTGGATGAGTTTGCAAGAGAAGAGTCCCAGGCACTGATCCTGGTCTTTGTTAGATCTGGAATAAATTCACCAGAGTCAGCGTAACACAGGTGGTAGTTCAAAATGGTCTGCTGACTTTGGAAATTATACATTTTTTAAGAAGCAATTTATACAGGCAAGATTCTGCTTTGATCTTCATGACCGTGAATCTGGTAAAATGTCATTAAAGTTAGTGATGTCTCTCTGGGTTTGTGTTGAGTGTCAATGAATCAGAGTCATGGGGTAGGAAGCAACTACAATCTGGTTTTATATTTCATAGTCACATTAAAAATGATGGCTGGGGACCTACTGAAAAGCAACATATGGTTGATGCAGAAAGCTTCAGAAAAATTATTTTTCAAAATCAATCTTAAGTTTTCACATGGAACTAAATTTCATTTTATTTTAATGACAAGATTTTTTGATGCTTTTTAGCTCCTTCTGTCCAGCTCCCTGCTCCTGACAGCATCCAGCACCCACACAAGGCAGCCTGTTGAAGCCATCCTTTGTCTCTGATCTGGGACAGTCTGTGGGTATGATGGTGACAAAGACCCCCTTAACATGTTCCTGCAATGCCAAGGTCACCATCAGAAACTCTACCAATGAAGAAAGCAAATAGCCAGGATGAAGCATTCCTCTTGGGAAGACATACTGAAAATCCTTCTGGCATTAATTTCTGTGCTGTCTGGCGATTAGCCATAGCTGGGCTACAAAGCGGATGGGAACTCTCGTTTGGAAGGTTGGATCTGAACACACTGATCCTGTGGAGGAACAGGAACTGAGGCACCTTAAAAGTGAGGAGGTATGTGACTATTGGCTACAATATCCATTTACTATAAATGCTGAAATATGGATTAATAAACAACTCAATTGTTTGGGAACGCACCATTGTCATGCTTGGCCATGGCTGTGGATAAACCTGCCTTCAGGGATGTTATCTTGATAGAAAATCAAGCTGCTATGGGTAAAGTAGTATTTCTCCATTATCAGAGAGGAATTCCTACAATCCTCAGCAGTGCTAATTGTGGGTAAAGTGTGTCTCCCAATACTGCGGACTTTGGGAACCTCACTTGATTCAGCCTGTTCATTCCAGGAGTGCATTGCAGGACAGGTAGTGCCAAATTTCATGTGCCCCAGATATTTTCCTATACAAAGACCAGAAAGAAATTGTCAGAGTGGTGGCTTCCACCTTACACCCTAGCTGATACAATGGCAAGGAATGAGCCCCATCTCTTGCTATGTTAGTTGTGATGGGATATTCCTTGTACTGAAGAAACCAAGTTGGTGAAAGCAGCTGTGCCTAGGAAGGCCAGAGGATGCTCCTGGGCTCAGAGGAGTTTCTTCAGCACCTTGAGAATCTCTTCTGGGGCCTCTTGGTGTGCTGACATTGATTTGACAGGTGGCACACAAGGAAATCTTCTCAAGCCAGGGAGGATTAATCAGTGACTCTTTATCTGGGTTCACAATTTGCTGCAGTAGAGCAAGGAGATTATGGCAATTATAAACTGGCTAATTTTGATAGTACTAACAGCAAGACCATGGTAATGTGCAGTTTAATGAGGACTAATTGGTACCTCAGAGTCTAGCCTGCTTCATGTCTGTTGCTGTTAAACAGTTTATCTCCTATGGGTATACACCAAGACAGCACCATGGCAGCCTGGCCAGTGTGGGCTCAGTTTAGGGAACGCAAGAGTAACCAAGTGACAGTGATGGTATAAATGTGTGTGCATGGTGGGGAGGGGGGGAGCTGCCTGAGCGAATCTAAGGAGAGGGACTGAATTTCTGCAAGGGACAATTGTTTTCTCAATTATCCAGAGTTTCAAGTACATTGGAAGGTAATATACTGTTTTATTGCCGTAAACCTTCTGCAGGAGAGAGACTATTATCCCTATTTCACAGAGATGCTGGAGGATGGATTTACCAAGACTATCATTTTCAAATATTGGAAAATATATTTATTCTGTAAATGTCTTGAACTTTTCATTTCAGAGAGGTGACAGAGGTCACAAAGGAAGTCAGCTGGAATTACTCTGAGTCACTTCTTTTGTTTAGCCAACCATTTTATTTTTTTTAAGGATAAGGCTGTTTGTCCTTTATATTTCTTGGCCAATTAAACTCTGTGAAAAGCCTTTGCAGAAGAGCAGGTGGACATCTGCCTCCCATTTACAGTTGCTGGGAGAGTTTGGAAGTTCTTGCAGCCAAGCCACAATTTCTTCAATCACACTGCTCTGTCCCACTGCAGCCAAGGCAGGCACCAATGCAGTGGAAAGAGGTCTTATGGAAAAAGCTAGCACAGTGTCTTGTGCACAATGCCTTCTGCACAGACATTGCTTCATAACACTTGTCAGGTGGCAAAGGCTATCTCAGTGTCTGAATGACAGACCGAAATACAACAGGTGATAATGGAAGTCTAGATGGAAAAACATCCTTGTAACTTCAGAAGCTACTTTTTTATTATTATTTTTTTTTAAGTCTCTTTTTATTTTTTATTTTTTTACTCTTATATACCTAAGTACTTTCCGCTTAGTGCTCTTCAAGCATTTCAAATCTCTGACACTTTTCATCTCTGAATTCAAAGAACCTTTGTCTGAAGTAGTAAAATCACCGGCTAGCTAAGCCCGTTATCTAGTGCAAGAGGATTAGTTTTCTTTTGATTAAGGAAATGACCTTACGGAGAGCATTTGGAAGGGGCACATTTTGCCTGCCATCAGCCATGTTTTCAAAGTGCAACCACTGCTTTATCTGCTTAACCAGAAGATGAGATTTTATTTACTTGTTTTCTCAGAAGATATATGAAAAGGATTTTAGGACTTGGCTCTCCTTGGTTTTGTATTAAAATCTCCCATGGAAATTCAGAGGATTAGACTGAAACGTCTTTTTTGTTTAGACTGGATAAGCAGGAGGACAAAAAGAAGCAGTTTACCAGTAGGGAAGGGAAAATGGTGTTTTCCTGTTGCACTGCATTGTGCCCACTGAGCTTGTTTCTGAACTCACCCACTCCAGATTAAACTCCCCAGGGTTTTAGGGGAGTCCCTTTGAATTCCTACCTGTCTGGAGGAGTTTCCAGCCCCCATTTTATGAAATATGAATTATCTTCCTAACTCAGCCTCTCCTAAATAGAGCAGAGGGACTTGTCAGCTTCCCAGCTGTTGATGGTTTCCCAAAGTTTGACATCCCAAACAGATGCCTCTGTCTGAGTGGCTTATGTGGTGGGGTGGGCTCCAGCACAGTCAGGGAAGGCATGAGGCATCCCATCTGGAAGCAGAAGCATGAATTATCTCTGACAAATAGCAACATGACTGTCCACAGAGATTAAGCTGGGCTCCTCAGGTGTCTGCTCCAAGTGGTACCTCAGGCCCCTCTGAGGACACTCATAGTCCTGATGTCTCTGGGGACCTGGCCCTGGGGCCTCCTGTCACCCTGCCCATGCCCAAAATACCATTTCAGTCCATCCCTCTGAGAAACTGTGTCACTGTTTCTGGGATGACACAATGTAGATTCTGCAGAAAACCCATAAATACAAATAACCATAGGATGCCAATGTCCACAGAAGTAAGATAGGTGACTAAGTCTGTCCTGAATCTTTTGGCTGTTTCTCCAGTGCCCCTCATTTTCTGCGAGCTGTGGTATAACCCATTACTTCTTCCCCAGTATCACACTGCACACAGCACTCTCATACCTTGAACATAAAAGATGCTATAAAAACCTAATTGTATTCTGTATCTGATGTTAGTATAATATTCCCTCAACTAATGGAGGAGTTTGCGGTGCCCATTTAATTTCTCTAATGTTAACTTTCTAGACAAATTTAGCTATGGTACAAAGGTTTTATGTAGAGCAGGATTTTTCCTTTTAATTTCCTTCCTGTTCTTGCTTTTCAGCTGAAGGTCTGATTCTATGGAGCACGTTGTTCTTCTTCCTAGGATGAATTCAGCAAAAATGGAAAGAAGCTGAAAGACCATTAGAGCTGCCTGTGTTTGAAACTTTCACTTTGACCCTTCTTGCAAGTTTGCATTTTTCCTAAGGATGGAATATTTGCACCCTAGGTTACTGATGGCTGTGAACAAAGAAATAACAATTTTCCTCAGCAGCCCAGTGTGATGGAGAAATTATGAACTTATTTAAACTGCACTGCTTGAAATGCTTTTAGCTAGCTGTTAAGCTCTGCCTTTAAGTTTACATAAAGAATTAGGAAAAGTTTACCTACTCCAACTTGACCGTCTGAGGGCAGTGTCACCTAATACTTGCTAAAAGTGATGATGTCTGGTCACTGCATACTATCTGCGCTGCACCCACCCTGTGAGGATGTCATCCTAAACTCACAGATGTCAAAGAGAGACTTTCTTCAGATCTTAACTGCATCTTGGACTTGAATACTTTGCAGTCACTCTCCTGGGCCACAGTGTTTACTGATGTAAACATTTAACTGCACAGAATAAGTTGTCCTTCACTTAATTTTGTCTTTGTATTTAAAGGCAAACATATGTTTTGGAGCACAGCAAACCATGTGTCCTTCTTGTGGGTGCTTACATTAATTACATGCTTCCAGGCACTATCTCCTATATTTCCATCTCATCCTGAAACAATGCCTTCTGTTTGTGGTCAGAACATGTGTTTTAGGTAGGAGGAGATGGGAAATCCTATGGAAGGGACATCAGAAGAAAAAGAAATACGTGTCTTCTGGAATGGGTAGACCCTTCAGTTTTCTCCTCTGGACTTGAGGTGCATAGTATAGGGATGACGTGAAAAGGGGGATGGCACCAGGGTGATGGTGATTTATATCAGCTAAGAACCTGACATTATATTTATGGTTTAAGTAGGCTAGCTGTGAGCAACTGAATAGTGTCGTGTGTGTTTGAGCTTATGTACATACGAGGTCACATAGGATATAAAGTACATTTACATACAAATGTACCTCAAACCTAATCCTTCCTGTTTTGCTCAGACAGTTCAATGTGAATACCACACACTTATAAGTTCCTCTTTAAACTGTAACAGAAACTATTGCAGTGTGATTTCTTCTGGTGGGTAATGTCATAACAAGCTGATTTTGAGGAGACAAAAAAAAAAAAAAGAGAGAAACAAATGATTCAGTACCTCTCAGTCCTTCTCTAGCAACAAAACTATTTGACTGCAAAGGTCTAATCTATGTAAAACAATTAAGAGAAGGGAAAATAATAATTTCGAAAGAGACATGTAAGAAACCCAAAGGCAGTGGTGATCAGCACAGTAATCCCAATGTGTTAGAGTTGATCAGCCTGAACCTGTTTCCTACTTAAAGCATTAAATGTAGGAGGATCTTTCATATTTTCCAGATGATTAGTGCTGAGAAATCACACTGACTGCTGAAGTACAGTGATAGATACAGGTGGGTGCTAACATAGAGGTACACTTGTTTAATTAAACACCAGTCTATCAGATGATTTCTAGTGGTTGTTTAGGCACCAATGACCAGCCCTGGGCACTCATGTCAATTCTAAATGCACTGGAGAACAGTTATGGAAATAGCAAAATCTTACTGGAAAACTGATGTCTGGTGGGTGGGAAGTTGGCTCAACCCTTTCTCTTCTTTCATGCATTTTTAAAGACCTGATATCATGTGAAAACACTTGCAATATTGAACTGGAATCAGAAACATCTGGTTTAGGGTAGTACAGGCAGTGGTGAGGGAGTTGTGTCACTTTGTCCAGACCAATTACTAAATTACAGCTTGTCCCTCAGGTCCCCATTAAGATTCACTGGAGCTCCCTACGGCTGCAGCTTCCCCTCTGGGGAGCCTTCCAGCAGCTGCTGCTTTTAGCAGGCTGTTCTTCCTTCTGCTCCTTGCCTTGCCTATGAGTGGGCTCAGAAGTCCTTGCCTTCATGGTGAGGGTCAGTCTTTACCCACTCCCCTGTCCAGGCTCCCTCCCTTGGCTGATGTCTCAGAAGCACTACAACTGTGGGTCAGGGAAGAGAAGAAGTGCTGAGTTTCCAATGCTTAGTCTTTCTTCTCTCTGCCCCAAGGCTCTTGTAAGGGCCAAACACGGCCTTGATCTGTGAGGGAAGCACCAGCGGCTCTCCCGGATGCCTGCACCCACAGTTTTGTCTGTATCCAGAGCTGTAAACATCACCCTGAGCACTTTCTCAGGACGGACAAGAAAAACAAGCTGATTATGTGACAAAAATACCCAAAGTCCTGTTTTAATAAAACTTTGGAGAGCGAGGTCTGTGGGAGACACGAGCAGGACTGGAACCAGCCCAAGGCTGCACCTGTCCCATGCTGGGAGCCCCCTGTGTGTGGGAAGGGGGAGATTGTGGGCTTAGGGCTCATGCACTGATAGCAATGGGCAGCTTTGCTGTGTTTTGATGGGAATTGTACACAGAGTGCTGCAGTTCTTAATGAGGGGTCTCTCCCTCTCATTTCCCTAGTGGAGGAAGGGTCTCATCATGGTGACTGAACTTTAGTAAAACTTTGTAAATCCACAAAGATTTGTGTCCAGTTTCCTCCACGTTAGTGCACCATTCCCAGTCACTTTTGTGTCACTCAGGTTGTATAGCTGTATATGGCTGCCTTTTTGGTTGCTTTTGCCTGCTTTAAGAAATGCTGTTCGAAAGAGCCAGCCAGGATCCTACCTCTGACTTTTGTTTCACACCTCTAGTCACATCACTAAGTAGAACCCCCCAGATTGTGTCTCTCCTGGTTATTTCTTTGATGACGTTTTTTCCTACCTTACCTCTTATTGGTTTTCCCACCACAGTGCTGCAGCATTTAGCATCTGGCCTAAAGAGTTTTTTAACCTCATTTCCTTGAGTAATGATCTACACCAGTCATAAAAAGGAGAAATCTGAAGAAAACCACAGGTGATGGTATTCTTAAAGCAGATGATTTTATTTTTTGAAGGGAAAAAAAAATAGTGGTGAAATATTTTCCTGAAAAACACATTGGAATACCTTGTGCAGCATATTACCTGTACACAAAATAGGATGTTCATACTAAGGTGAACCACTGTGCTCTTAGGGCTCCATGCCAATTTGCTTGCTGATCTTCATATTGCCTGGGAGAAAAAGAGAAGAAGGTGGGAGGAGGTGATGGGCAGAGGCCATTGGCACCAGAGGGAGAAGGCTGAGATCTGGTGTTGGAGCAGGACAGGACCACAACTTTTCTTCTGTTGGTCACAGGGAGTTTCAAACTTGAAATTGTTTGTGGAGTGAAGCCATGAGCTGGCCAGATGGAAATAAGTCTCCATACCATGGTACATGGAAAAACGAGTTCATCATGTTCTGTCTTCACTTTGAAGCATTCTTGGCAAATTTAGCCACATCCTGGAAAGAGTGGAGGGGAGGAAGAGCAGAGGGGAGCCAGTAGGCAAATGGGGCTATGGAGTTTGGTTGTACAATGCTTAGGGAAGCTGTTCAGCTTCAAAGGAGAATGCCTGGTTGCTGAGACAGAGTGTACAAAATAATTATGCTTATTTTTTGAACCTCACCACCACTTTTCAGTATTTCTTTTACCACTGTTTTTGTTTTTGTTTTTCTGCAGAGTATAGTGGCAAGAATCCTTCCCCGACAATGGGGTGTAATGGTTGCAGCTAGATCTGTGGCAGGTGGGGCTAACTAAACAGTTGGGAAATAGCACTGCTTTCATGATTGGTGTCAGAAGGTAAAACACAATAAACTCTATTTTTGATATTACAGGTTTTTGGTTTTATTGTTGTTTGTATATATAGTTACACCAAAAATAGCATTGGTTCATTTGTCATTTCCTTTTTTGGTTGACACACAGTATTTAGCTATTCAGTTCTCTGATGTTCCAGCAAATAGTCAGACAATTTTTAAAATAAATGTTCCCTTAGAGTTTGCATATTTTTCCTTCTGTTCATTTCTAGGTCTGGGAAATGGAAAGAGACTTCAGAAGCAGCCCAAGTTTATTTTAGAAGCTGAGCTATGTTTGCCTTTTTTTTCTTCCCCTTTACCACGGTATTGTTTTCTTCATTTTATTGTCTCAGAGTTGATGTCAGATATGATTTTTTCAGGGTACACTTTGGATTTTCAGGATTTCTAAAAAACTTTTTTTTTTTTTTTTTCTTTTCTGGATCATAGAAGTCAGAATCCCTTTACTGCCAGATGATTAATGTTCACCTTTGTTATTGAGCTGGATGGTCACTAGACTTTTTGCATAAATTTGATCTATAATGTCCTAGTAAAGCCATCCTCCTTCCTTTCTCTCTGTCTCATTTCTCTGCTGTTTACCCTGCTTTCCTGGGGAGATGGTGCTTATGCAACCTCAGCCTCCGTCTGTCACTTTGGTGACTTTTGAACTATGTCAATTTAAATCAAATTTGCGAGAGGTCAAGAGGGAGGTTCCTGCACATTTTATGGAAGTAGGAGGTCTGTTAACAGATGGCTGCACTAACAGTATTGGCCAAACTCCCGAGTCCTCCTGCACATCCTGTGCAGATTCAGGCATGAGGAATGGATGCTCTGCTTGGAGATGGATCCCAGGGTGACTCAGGGCTGGCGGAGATGCAGTACTGATGCCCATGTGCTTTGTCCTGTGCTGTCAGAGCAACCACCTTCTCCTGCCTCGGGCTGTAGCCACTGCAGATTAGAAGTACTGTCCAGGAGGAGGGGAACTTTTGGGGAGAAAATGCATCACTCCACCAGCTGGTGTCATGAATGGCCACTGTCCACCATGCCTGTGCCAGCTTTCCAGCCACCGACAGACGTAGCAGAGCCTCCCTCTTGGAGCAGTTGGTTGCCCCTGGAGGAACTGCAAGGATCATCTGACATTACAAGGAGGATTTTTAGAAAGAGAATGTCAAGAATGTCTACCTAGAAAGCTCCTCAGCATATATATATATCAGAGAAATGTTAGAACCAGTTTGAATCAGAACACGACACTGTGCATGCCTTCGGTGTACCATCACTAACACACTAATACACCTTCATGTGAGGCTCAGATGGCTGGAATTCACATGCTTGCGGTGACGCTATGCTGCTCAGTCCTTGGGAGTCAGTCCTCAATGGGCTCTGAACCCTCCCAAAACTCCCCAATGCCTTGAAAGCAACATACTTTATTCTGCACCTGGCAGTGTTTGTAAAAGCCACGCTGATCTCCACCGAGCACAGGTGTTTACATTCAGACACTGCTGTGTTAGGCACCTGAACATCATGGGCCAGCAGGTTGGGTGTTTTGGATCCTGCACTGTTAGTTCAAACATATTTTCATGGGCTGGCAGTTAATAAACACTGCTGCAAGCACACGTTTGCACTGTGTCTGTGTGCTGCTGCAGGCAGAGAGGTGCCTTGCTGCACAGATACAAAAGCACTGCTGAAGGCATTACTGCAGGTTTGGGAGAAATGTGCATTGTCAGTACAGGCAGTTTTCCTTTCTCTGCTCTCAGATCTATGCCTTTGCTGGGATTTAAGGAAGCCTTCAATGTCCTGACTCATCTCCCCATCCCAAAGTTTATTTAATAAAAGGGGGGCAGCATACACTTGCATGGCTCCAGGTACAGCTGGTAGGTTGCTAGCAGCCTAGAAGGTTTTATTTATTCCTTAGGAGTAGGAATAAACTGAAACATTTATATCCAACTGATTTTCGTATGTTAGACATCATCACACCAATAAAAACAAGAGGGGCTGAAGAAACAGTGAGATGTGATTATTTCTGATGCTCTCGCTGAAGTTTTATGGTGCATTTTTTAGTCTTGATTATATACCTCGAGGCACAAAACCGGTTAAAGCAGATCTTATATCAGTTTACATTATTTCCTTGGCCTTACTGCTATTTTTTTCATAGAAAATTAACAAGGAAAAAAATGACTTTTAGGGCCTATCATTTCAGCAGATAGCCTTTCCTGCTAAAATGGTCTTATCTGCTGTAGTTTTTGAATGTTTGGCATTCATTGCTAGAAATGCTACCATTTATTTCTTATTCTGAATCCATCTTGCTACAAAATTCAAAGTGCATCCTATTTATAGTCCAATTTTGAAAAGATATAAACATGGATTCTTAGCTTCATGTATGAAACTAAATATCTACTTAAGTTTTTGAGGAATGCCCTTTTATGAATCACAACAGTTAATTTAATGCTGCATTTTTCTATGTGCCTTCGGTACTGCAATTTGATAAATCCAGAAAGAACTGATTCACCAGCAGAACTTTTCTTTCTGTTTCCTATTTCCTCATGACCAAAGAACAAAAATATGCCAGAGAAGTTTTAGCCAATTTGTGTTTGGGGTTGGTGGAATTGATGAAAATTATTAGTTACTGAAAACCTGAAACCACAAACTACTGCTTAGTTTAGTCCACAGAAAAACTTAAATATCAAGGGAAAAAGGAAAATAAAAAAGAAATTCATCTCACAGGTACATCAGTTAGACTAATTAGTAAACAACTTCAAAAAGAAAAGAAAAGAAAAAGAAAAGAAAAGAAAAGAAAAGAAAAGAAAAGAAAAGAAAAGAAAAGAAAAGAAAAGAAAGAAAAGAAAGCTTTGAAATAGAGAAGCATGAATAAATCAGTGGTTATTAGTTATAACAAAATTTATTTTTTAAATTTAAAAATATCTTCATGTGGTCAGTAAATAAGTAAGGCAAAACAAGAAGTAGACCAGAATGCAGAATTAAATTTACAGAAACAGCAGAGCAATGAAACGAGAAAAATATAAGCTATGGACCAGAGAAACATGAGAAACTTGTGGAAAACATTAATTAGGAAAGCCAGAGTATGAGGATGATCTGACCAATGTAGGTTTTTTACTGGATTTGCAGATTAATATCTTTCTGGGGTGGGGGGACCTCCCTGTATTTTACATTTCTTACTCCATGTTCAGGATATTAAAGAATTTAGTAATTCCAATGTGTCAGCTTTTGAGTTTTACCTGAACTCCAGCTATCAGTTATCAAATAGTAAATACAAGAAGGATATAGGATATAATATACTGCCTGTTTGTTGCTTTTCCTTATAATGGCTTATGCATGACAGTGGCTGATAGTTCTGTGGCCAATTTCTTTAGACAGAAAAAAAATAAATCTAAAGTGCAACCTGCTCTGTAGAGAGAAATACCTTCCATTTTCATCCTCAAATCCATACATTTATACTGAAAAGAAAACCCATGAAAAAACAATTCCTAGATAAATAATAAAACGAACGGAGGTTGTTGCTCTTTTCTTGGTCCTTCATGCTGTTGCTGTCTTCACAGCAAAGAGCTGGAAACAGTAAATGACTCTGGCTGCCTGACAGTAACCTGGGGCTCCATCCTGCAGAACAAAAATGAAATCTAAGGGCAAAAGGAATGCAGGGTACAGTGTAGGAGAAAACTACTTAATGAATGTTTGTAATTGGGACATTTCTGGAGCATGCTTAAGCATGCTAGAAGACTGAAAAAGCCTCTGAGACCCCCCCCTGACTTTTCAGATGAGAACTTGAAAACTCAGTTTTTGCTCAAATGCTCTTACTACAAGTGTATTTTCAGATATGAGAAAAGAGTTGGAAGGGTACAGAGTAACAGATGACAAGTACGTGATAGTGATAAATGGGGGGGAAAAAAAGGAGCAATACAAAGATTGTACTTAAAACCCACACAGTTAATTGGAATCCAGTCAGTGCTTTCTTTCTTGGAAAAAGAATAATAATTCGTCTTCAGCTTTGGCAGAAGAACAGCATGCATAAGAGCAAATAATATTTGAAAGTAGAACAAGCCGACATGGCACCAAGTGAGATAAATGCTTATCTCATAATCATTAACTCCTGGCCTAGCTACTGCTCTGCATTGCCAAAAATTCAGGGGTTGGAGAGGAGTTATACAGGCTAAAAATAATAGTTCCGAAGAGCAGCATCAGGAAATACTTGTAACTGAATTTTTCTGTGATCACTGAAGTACTATAAAAACAAAGAAACAAAGAACATCTCCTCTTGGTGGTCCTAAATCACAGATTTGGTGTGATGGCTTCTAATTTTTGCTGCAGAAATAGCTAATGCCTATGTTATTCATAAACCAAGTGCCTGCTTTTGTTGGACAATCTTTTCCATCATTACCTGCCTGAACAAAAAATCCCTGCTGTTCCTAGAAGGGAGGGAAAGTGGTCACAGCAGCTTCTAGACAGCAGATCAAAAGTGTTCTGCACTCCTGTCTCAGCACGAAGTCGATCTACTGTGTTAAGCCATCTATTTAGCAAGATAACCATCTGTCCAGAGTAGGCTTGGTGAGGTAATGGTTTTATTAATTTCTTATATTAAGTAAGATGAGCAGATGAGTCTGCCTGTGGCATTCAGATATGAGAATTTGACCTTTACAAAATTATCAGCTTTCGTTTCTTGTGCAAAACATGATGATTTTCAGTGTATCAGAGGCATTACTGGATGATTTTTCCCAGGGCTTTGAAGTAAGCGTAAGATATCAGGGTGGTAGTTCTGAATTTGTTTTCACATCTGCAGAATAGACACTTTATAATCACCAAAGCTAATGCAGAAGAAAACAATTTCCTCCAGAATATTTTATTTCCTCTCTGCTGAAGGACATTGATTGCAATTCACATGTTCTAACTTTGCTAGACAAAACTAAACTTTCTTAAAAATCCCATGCTTTTGGTTAGTAGAAACTGTCACTTTCCTTGATAGTTTGTTCAAAATATGCCCTGCATCCTGTTTTAAAATGGTGAAAGGGTTTTAAAAGGTAAAAGGGTGATCTGT